TATTCAGTGAGAGAAATCTAGTCTCTGCTGGGCTTTAACGAGTGCATCAAAGTCAGGTTGAATGTCTGAGGTGGAGATGCGAAGCAAAATGATCATCAGTGAGAGAGGATCTATACCTGGATTTTGTAAACTTCATCATTGAAAATGTTTGTTCACAAATGTAGGTAGAGCCGAAGAAAACCAACATCTTCTGAGCATGTCTCCTCAGGTTTGGAAAGTTCTCATCCTTAAGAGAAGAGTAGAAATCCAGCAGAGTTCCTGAATCTCTGCTTTCAAGTCCCAAACCCTCGTCAGCACTTTCCCCAGGCTGAGCCATCTGACAGCTGTGTGGAGTCCTCCAAAAGAGCGACAAACTGTCTGTGATTCATTGCCCGCGCCCTGATGAAGTTTATTATTTTAGTAACAACATCAGTAACATGGTTGATTTTTAACACTGACTTGCACAACACATGTTGGTGTATAATTCAATGGAAAAACATCTATTTTTGATCTGCATCGATTTCTGTCACTTTTATCTTGCATGCGTTTCAAAAGTCCGACATTTTTCCCTGTAAGATTTGAACAACCGTCTGTTGTGACACCTGACAGTCTCTCCCATTTCAATCCCAGAGTGTCCGTGCACGCATTTACCTCTGTAGAAAGATCACTCCCTGTCGTTGTCCCTTTCATCGACTGCATTGCTGCCAGCTCCTCTGTGAGCTCCGTTATCCCCCGGACAAATACGAGCAGCTGGGCTGTGTCGCGGACATCACAGCTCTCGTCTAAGGCCAATGAGAAAAAGTCAAAACTTGCCACTTCACGTTGCAGCTGAATCTCCAGGTTCCCCGCAATGTCCTCGATCCTCCTGGACACGGTTCGCCTGGACTGGACAGCGGGATTTGCTCAAGTGCGCCTTTTTTTCAGGGCATATTAGTGCTGCCGAGTCCACCATGCACTCTTTGACAAACTCTCCCTCCGAAAACGGCTTGCTGTTTTTAGCTATTTTGTGGGATATCACAAAGCTGGTCCTGGTTGCTGCATCCCTGATGTGTGAAGCTTAGTAAAAACAGCCTTGCTGCTTTTGCAACTTTGCTAGCAAAGCTTCGGATGTCCGTGCCCTCTCAGCATCAGATGAGTTCTTGTATTTTTCCGAGTGTTTCTTGTCGTAATGCCGACTCAAATTGTAGTCCTTAAACACGGCAATCTCCTCCCCGCAAACCAAACACACGGCTTTACCTCCGACTTCAGTAAAAAAAATACTTAGCAGTCCAATTTTAGTTGAAAATCCTGCATTCGGCATCTTTCTTTCTTTCTTTTTATTTATTTATTTATTTATTTTTTTGCATGAGCGGACATTTCTGGGGCTACAATCACCATGTCAACCACGGGCACTTGTTGCTATACGTTTTGCGTCATTGTGCACGTAAAAAACAACTTCAAAATAAAAGCAATGCAGCCTTAGCCCATGCATGAGGTAAAATGAGAAAATACATTTATTTTGTAATTTCCAATTAAACTTACGCGGGCCGGTCAAAGTCAACCAAAGGGCCGTATGCGGCCCGCGGGCCGTAAAATGCCCAGGTCTGTCCTAGGGCATCGGAGGAGCATGCCGGGCCTCTCCGCGTCCCGCACCTCGCAAGTCCCCACACCCCGGTCCCACCAACCGTCCACAGCCCAGTCACCATGACCCCCCCTGTCTAGGGTGTGGGTCACTTTATAGGCGCAGGCTGTTTCGGAACCGGCAGGGCATACAGAGTAAATGGGCAGTGAGCTACGGGTGCACGGAGTTGGGTCGGCTCGGCGTGGCTCCGGCGCTTTCGGACAACGGCGCAGATGTTGGGGGGGCTGGGATGCGGGACACACACCGCGGTTGTCCCGATTCCCCTGCCTCCATGTCTGACAACTGAGACCTGACGCCTGAGACCTGACAACTGATACCTGAGGATGTTTCCTGAAGCAGTTTTTCCTGAAACCTGACAGTTTTTCCCCCATGGTCTGAAGTTTGAAACCTGAGACCTGATACCTGACACCTGAGGATGTCCTAAAATGTACGCTGTTCTACGGCAGCTCCGCTGTCTCGGACAAACTAAACACTCCTCTCACTCAGCGCCAAGTTTACTCAGCTATTTGCTGACGTTGAAGCCCAGAAACTGAGATTTTAACCGCTCAGTAACGTGTTCACGACTGAAAGAGAAAGTTTTCCAACTAATGTCCAGACAGAGCTGATATAACTCCAGCGAGCAGCGACACGCTCAAATCAGCACGACTCTGTGGCTGCTGTAGTTTTTATTTTTCCTCCGGTGAGCATCACAGTAAATCAGTGGAGCAAACTGAGCTTTAAATATTTTGGTTTTCTGCTCGTTTTCTGCTTAGTTAACAGGTGAGATGTTGCATTTTCATTTCAGATAAATTATATTTTTATTTTGTTGTTGGCCCGTGAGAAAAGATTTAACCTACATTTAGCAGGAAGTGGAAAGGCTGCAAATAGATGAATAGAATAGAAAATCCCTTTATTGTTGTGGGGAAAGCTAGATGTCACAGCAGCGATGAAACTTATTACAGGAGAAAAAAGGAGAATAAAAATATGAAAAATGAATAAACAACAAGAAAACATAAATCCTGAATAGATTTTTAAAAATGCTGAAAAAACCACAAGTAATGAATACCACTGATGCGTTTTATTTAAAACGGACTTGCTCGTGTGTAATTTGTTTATTCCACAATTAGTGTTAATGCAGAAATAAGTTTGTTTCCAGATTAAAAGGTTCAAAACTGCATATATGTTGATGAAGAAAATGTGCAAATTTGCCGTCACTTTTTCAAAAAATATTAAGTTTGGCCCGCAGCTTCGTCCCAGATTTTCATTTCGGCCTCGTGTGAATTTGAGTTTGACACCCCTGCCCTCGGGGATCCCTGGAGCATATATAGTCCCCCGAGCAAGTTCTGGGATCAGTCCTGGTCTCCTTCCAGTGCCCAGCAAACCAGGGGCAACCAGGAGGCTTACCAGGAATTCTCCTGGTTGCCTGAACCATCTCAGCTGACTCTTTTTTTATAACGAGGAGCAGCAGCTTTATTCTGAGCTTTACCTGGATAATGGACCTTCTCACCTTATTCCTAAAGCTGAACGCAGACTACCTATGGGGGGGATCAGGAACTTGTTCTTTCAGCCAGGTTTCCAATCTCGAGATCGTAAATGAGAGTAGATGTGACGAATAAGTAAATCAAGAGCTTTGCTTTTCATACTCCAGAGCAGATCCCTGGTTACTGCAGAAAATGTTTCCATCCGATCCCTGACCTCTCTCCAAACCTTAAAAGGAGCATTTTACCTTTGTTTCGGAAATTATTTGTTTGAGAAATTCATGAGAAACTAATGATGATAGATGATAAATGACCTGCACTACCTGCATTACTGTAACACACGCTTCACACGTTTTAACAAAAAAGCCCTTGACCACCTTCAGTTGGTCCAGAACTCTGCAGCGAGGCTCCTAACTGGACCAAAAAGAAGAGCACACATCACTCCTATTCTGTCTCTGCACTGGTTAGCCGTTGCCTTTAGAGTCCTGATTATAACTTTCAATGCTCTACATGCTCAAGCTCCTCCCTATATTACTGAACTGTTAAAAGCCTTATGCTCCAACCCGAGCCCTCAGGCCCGCCCACCATAACCTTCTAGAAGTTCCAAAGACCAGATATAAAAGTCGAGGTGATTGCTCCTTCCAGACTGTTGCACCCCGACTTTGGAATGATCTTCCTTTATCCTTATGTAGCATTGAGTCTGGTCGCCTTAAAAAAGCAGCTGAAGACCTTTTTATTTAAAGCTGCTTTTACCTAAACCTTTTGTTTTCTTATTTTTAACTCAAATTTGTAATAATCTGTCATCTGTTCACAAGGTTTTATAATTTCAAGACTTTATGTTTTCTGTTAATCTTTTTCTGTTTTGACATCATTATATTTTATGACTTTGTTTAATTTTGTTTTGATCTCTGTGAAGCACGTTGTGATTCTATATCTGTGATAAGTGATTTATAAATTAAATGTACTTACTCACACTTGTATAGAGCCTTTCAGAGTCAGAGGACTCCAAAGCACTTTACACTACAGTGTATCATTCACCCATTCACACATTGATGGTGAGCTACGATGTAGCAACAGCTGAGAATCAGAATCAGAAGGGTTGTGTTGCCACATGTGCAAGAAATTCCACTAGGAAATTGCTGCTCTGGAGCACACTGACAGAGGCAATGCTCCTGAGCACAGGCACCACCGATACCTCCAACCACCACCAGCAGGCAAGGAGGGTTTGAAGTGTCTTGCAGCAGAATTCTCTGATGGGAGCCAGGATTGGTTCTACAAACTTTCAGTTACTGGACAACCTGCCCTACTTCCTGAGCTGCTGCTGTCCCAAGCCCAGTTTACACAGCATGACAATCATACCAATGTTTGTTTTTATAATTTGGTATCTGATGAAGCCAGATTTTTGTGGCAGCAAAGAAATTAAGTTGGAGTCTGTGTAAATGTACATGTAAACATCAGGTCTAAATCCTCATCTCTTCTAGTCTTCATAACTTCCATAAATCAAAAGTGACAACTCACCAAAAGAAGACAGAGCTTGTTTTTTTTATCAATTAGCTTGTGTCACCTTTCCTCCTCTTCCTTCATCAATAAAACAACAAAGGCCTCAGCGTGATTTCAGTGAAGCGTTTTCAGCATCAGCTTTAAAAATTTTAATTTAAACCTTCTAAAGTTTTTCATTCTTTTACACGTTTATTTTTATTGAATTTTTTTAAGGAGACATGAAGTGAACCTGTAGGCAAGATGCTATAAGAGCTCAGTCGAAAGAAATCCTAGTCTGGTCTCTGCAGGTTCACTCAGCTGACAATTCCTGACAAACATAGAGCCCAGAACAGAGATGTGTGAGTTTTTGTTTTTTATTCTCCTCCGTGGAATTCCCTGGGCTCTGAGAACAGGTGGGGAGCAGCAGGGAGTGGCAGCAAAGCCTAATGACCGTCATTACTCACCTCTCTCCGACGCAGGGGCCAGATCAATGAAGCTCCGACACTTCTCACCTGAGACGAGAAAGGGGAGAGGGGGCAGTTGAAGGGAGAGAGGTGGAGAGGGATGGAAGAGAAAAAAAGGTGAGGAGAGAAAGATGAAATGAGCTGGGAATGAAGGAAGAGGGGAAGAGCCGAGGACGAGGAGAGGTGGTGAGAGGGGAGAAGATGGAGGAAATTAATGCATAGAGAGTGTTAGAGCATCAAACTGATCACAGACAGTCCTGCTGGTATTTTACAGCAGATAAAATTTCCTGACGAAAAACAATAAATGTCCTTATCCCGTAAAGTAGCGCTGGGCGATATGGCCTAAAATCTGTATCACAATATATTGAGGATTTCACCTCGATAACGATAAATGGACGATGACTACAGGTATGCGCAGAAACAAAAGTTGTCCACCAGATGGGGCTGTCACATGCATTACGTTGAGTCATATTTTTACGTGACTCGAGGTTGAACAGCTTTGTAAAGAGACATAAACGTTGCCAACCTACACATCTTTTCATTTTTTTATCATCAGATTTATTGACTTGGGAAAAATTATCTTGATAAGAGTCAGAAATTTCAATAAAGATAAAGTTTTGATGTATTGCCTAGCCCTACTCTAAAGTCAAAACAATTCACCTAAATTAGGTCAGTATGAGTGGAAGCAGTCTGGAATGAACCTATTAATGTGTTTACACAAAGCAGAGACTGTCAAATGGTGGTCCCTGGACCAAATCTGGCCCACAAGCTCATTCTAATGGGCCTGCCAAGTATTAACATTAGGGATTTTGATATTATCAGCTGATATTTGCATGAAATTGTAATGTCGAGATTGATCTGTATTGGTTTTTGCTCTCTTAGAACAACTTTTATTTTACACATCATGCACACATTTTACATCAAAGTCTCCAGCTACTTCCCTTCAGATCAGAGGTATAATTTTTGATCTCATGGCCGGGGAAGCTGAACTCAGAGGAAGCTACTAATGGGGCATTCCCATCTGTACCGGGTCGGCCCGGGCCGGGTAGCATAGGTCAGGGGTGTCAAATATGCGGCCCGCGGGCCGGATCCGGTCCGCAAGCGGGTTAAATCCGGCCCGCGAGATGGTTGTGTAAACTTTATTTTCATACTTTACAATGTAGAGTGAAAATAAACGTATCGTTGTGAGCGAGTTTCCTCTGTAATGAGTATAAATAAAACAAAACTGCGCTCAAGGCCCACACAAGAACTTGTCACATCCTGAAGTTGGCCGCCACTCAGGATGTGACTTCTGATATTGATGTGCTGGTGAAAGCTAAAAGATGTAAAGTAAAATGAGTCAAATATACTTTAAGTGATGCATGAAACTGATCAAGCCATGTGATCTGTAAGCTCTTTGAATCACAAAGGAATGTTTTTTGAATTAGATTTTTTTTTTTTTCAAATTTTCAAGTACACTTCAGGTGTTGTACTTGTACTGTTTTGAATACACTGTCCTCAGGCTCCAGTCTTGTTTTATATTGATTGTATTAAAACAAAGAAAACAATCTGAAGTTGTTTTTAATTTACCGGTCCGGCCCACTTGGGACTAGATTTCCCTCAATGTGGCCCCTGAGCTAAAATGAGTTTGACACCCCTGGCATAGGTTGTTTACATATCTGGGTGGCCTGGTATTTTTCTGGGCCAACCAAGGCTCATTCTCAGCCCTCTTCTCGAGGGGGTCTGCTTCAGGCTGACCAGGGCCAACACACCCACTGCTGACAGCAAATTCACACCTTCTATTAGAGCAAGCCTCTGACTGGTGGGTAGAATCAGCCCACATGGGCTTAAGACAAGGATGTGTGGAATCAACCGGGCCAGGCTGGGGCTGACTGGGGCTACCCGGCCCGGGCCGACCCGGTACAGATGGGAATGGCCCATAATCTCTGAGTGTGGTTTCAACGTCTGGTGACCTCACCACTTTGACCGCAACCCTTCTGACCGCCGGGAGCAACTCATACCAGGGTATCGTAAGCCTGCATACTGGAGTCTGATGAGGTTTATAAATAAACTACTCTCTAGTTTATAACAAACAACACGTTCCTTTACACCCAGACTTCACAATTTCTCTCAGATACAAAAAACGGTTACTACAACATCTAGCTTCCATCACACCACCTCACATCCACTCCTTATTCATATCTTGTCATGTATCATTAGTTTAGGAAAAATAATTAAATTCATTTTGTAAACCATATACTGACTCTGTCTGGATTAATACGAAGTGTGTTTTTGGTCCCTAAAGAAGTAAAGAACCCTAGAATATTCTGATTAAACATTCAAAGATTAATCAGATTGATATTTCATATTTATACGCAATATCACATCTTATTGGTCATAATTAATATGTATTAATTGCTACAGGAGCAATTGTTGCATCACTACAGGCTGTCATGTCCTGTCCATGTCCTCCCTGTCCCTGCCATACCCTATCTCCCTTGTGTCTGGTCCCCTCGGTCTTCACTCATGTTTCTCACTCCTGTAATGTGATGAAGGAGCTGTTCCTCCAAGGTTATTTAACCTTTTCCACAGTTCCTTTTACACAGTGCCAGAGTGCATGAAACAGCCTCAAGGTCATGCATTCGCTTCTAAACTGTTTACTTTCCAGCAATGAAGACAGAAGATGAAGAAACTCTTTTATTTTCTTTTATTAAATCAAAGAACTCTATTTTCAATAAAGCTAATCAAAACAACTGTTAGTCAATAATACAATGTGACCGATCTATGAAATCACAATATTATGATTAATATGTTTTAATAAGTAATATGACTTAATCTAGTTCACTAGACACGCTGATATACTAAGGTAAATAATCACATGACACATTGCTGTTGCTGATCCAATCAGAACGTTCCTAGTCTGAAGCGTGGCAGAGCCTCTGTGGTGTTTATAAATTGGTCAGCTTTGATTCGTCCAGAATCAAAAACATCCAGATTAATAAAACAGTTCCAACGCCATCTTAAGTTCAGTTCTCAAGATCTCTTCTCAAGATCCCATGAACTTCACCGCATGTTAACTCGTTCACTGCCAGCCGTTTCCTGATCGCAAACGGCCTTCGCTGCCAGTGTTTCTCACCGTTTTTACAGTTTTTTAAGAGTCACAGAACGTTGCGCGCTAGGATGATGTCGACGCCAAAACAACCAAAACAAAGCGGAGACGCACCTCTTACATCAGGAAGAATCCGTGTGTTTCGAGCGTTATCCGTTCTTTCATAATCCGTAGTTGAATTGTGATCGGTTCCGGTTCGCGCCTCACGTTTTTTACAGGAATGGCCCAAAACGATCTCCTAACACATGGATGGTCTGCTTCCTGATCACATGACATGTGACGTATACGGATGAAGATCGGCTTCATGGCTGAGATGTTTGTTCTCTCAGCACGGGGGCTCGTTCTGATACTAAACAGTAAAAAAAATGCACTTTAGTCGTCATTGGCAGTGAACGGTTGGATCTAAAATGACGACTTTAGTCGTCAATGGCAGTGAATGAGTTAAGTGAAGTATGGGCAGGCCATCTGTACTTCTCTTTCGAAGCTGGGAACCATCCAAGCTGGGAAAAATCTGTTGTTTTTACCAACCAAGCAACGGTACCTTTCAGAATAAAAGCTGAACTCGCTGACCCAAGGAGGGTCCCCTTTTTGACGCTGTGAAACACCTGTCGCTTTTTACCTGGAGACTATCCATGGACTAGTTTGTCATGCTGTGATGCTGCACCATTGGCTCCAGTACCGGAAGGAAGGTCCGAGGACCTGACATTCTGGATCCATCGTGGAGGTCTCACTGAGGGTATGTGGATGCGACACAAATGGCGTCTCATGTGTTTATGACTCCAAGTCTCAAACTCTGATCAGTTAGGAGCAAAACATCATCTCCCACTCAAACTTTGCTTCTCCGGATGCGAGGGTTGTGAATTTGACACTCATTCACACACACCAATCACTTCACACTTCATTCAAACAGAACATCCATCATTAGAGAGTTAGTCTTGTTAAATTGTTTAAAATAATTTAGTAATAAATTTACTTAAACATTTGAAAGTCTCTCTCTCTTCTCTTGTCTCTCAGTTAATGCAAAGTGTTATTTTAAAATCCCTGCAATAAAAAGATCCAATCTTCTGATTTAAATAACCCAGTGTCCATAAGATGGATTTCATACTAGATATGAATTTTTAATGTCTTATGGTCCTTAATAAAATGTAATTAACATCTTCATTACACTCCATTTCACATTCCCTAGCCACTTGGCTTTGTTTTATTTCTCTTTAGTTGTCCCCTTATCGTATTGTCAAGCCCCTGTTAAATATCCTTTCGTAGCGGTGACCTTTGACCCCTGTGTTTCTATAGCTGTTTTCTTATAGTTATGTATTCTTCTGTGGTTATTCCTCAGTTAACTTCTGTTCACATTTAGCCTTACACGATACAGAAAGTCATCAACCCAGTATCGTACCGGCTGCGATTACCGGCGACTCTTTGCATCCATCCCACCTTCCACGTCTCCCGGCTCAAGCCCTTTGTGGAGTCCTCCGTGCTTCCGCCTCCGCCTGCCCGCTTCCTCGACGGTGAGCCCATCTATACTGTCCGGCGCATCCTGGACGCCTGTCGCAGGGGTCGGGGATGGCAGTACCTTGTGGACTGGGTGCACTACAGCCCCGAGGAACGCTCCTGGGAACCGGCCCGCTCCATCCTGGACCCGGCCCTGATCACTGACTTCGGGGACCGCCGGGGCCGCCCAGGGACTTCAGGAGCCGTCCCTGGACATGGGGGGGAGGGGGTCCTGTCAGAACTCAAGTCCCCAAACCAGTCTCTCCCAGCTAGCCGGCCTCCACCACGGACCACAATTCCCAGCATGACCTACGTCATGAACCGCGCCTATATACGGAGGTCGTCTCCCCAGCTGATCACTCAGTCATTGTTTCTTCGAATCCATGATCAGAGTTACCAATCTACCGATCCACCTCACAAACTCTCTGCTCACAGTAAGTGGTCTTACTTACTTCTGGAAAACCCAGCACTTCCGTGTCACTTTGTTGCCGCTCGAACGCTCGGGGATTCCTAGATTAAATCGCGAGCCACTTCCGCGTCTGTGAAACCTCGCTCTCAACAA